TAATGACACATGAGAGAGGAATGCTCTGTTCCTATATTTCTGTCTCACTAATGACACATGAGAGAGGAATGCTCTGTACCTATATTTCTGTCTCACTAATGACACATGAGAGAGGAATGCTCTGTTCCTATATTTCTGTCTCACTAATGACACATGAGACAGGAATGCTCTGTACCTATATTTCTGTCTCGCTAATGACACATGAGAGAGGAATGCTCTGTTCATGTTTTGTTTGCTTACGCTGCAGGAAAAGCCTTGCAGAAAGATTAGAGAGTTCACATGACAAGTCAGTCATCAAGGAATCCGGAACAAGGGGCAACAAGGAAATGACCTTCAGATGGAAAAAGGTACAATTCATATTACATAAAATACATGTTACAAAAGATAATGGCTGCTGTGAAACACACAATCTTATTGTTACTTGAAATATTCCTATTAAAGACAAACCATTTGATAAGCTAGCAGAAATCATTGCTACAAGTACAGGCTTTAATGGATAAACATGTGAAAATATAACGAATGTTCTCTCTATAGTACTGTTAAACATTCTACAGTATACATGTAGTTCAAATATCAAAACAGTGTTGTTGTTGTTGTTGATGTTTATGTATGCAGATCTTAACCTGAATCAGTATGAATCGAAAATGGCTGTTTGATAATTTAACACATTTATAAAATGAACAGTATTATGAACTTAATGTTGTATGAGGTCTTTTTTTACTGTATGTAAAGCTTGTCTAAATCTTTCTCTCATTTCCCTGTGTGTAAGATAGAGCTGTTTAGAGTAAGAAAGGGTTGTAGGAAATTTCTGTCTTACACCACATTTCAGGTGATGTGACATCACAATAGCTCAACAATGACAAGACATCACGAATTTGGAAATCTTCAATGCCGCAATGTGGAAAAGGCGACGTGATGAAATTAAAACCTTTTACTGTATATTTACCGTATGCGTTAGGAAACTGTTATTAATTTTTCGGCGCAAACTTTGATTGCAAATATGGGGTTATTTAATCTAGCTGATTTATTTTCGTCTAAAAAGCTGAGGGGAAAAATTGATATTTTCAAAATGGTAGCCAGTCCAAATGCATTTTCATGATTTCTGAGCTTATTCTGGTACATATCTAGTTGGAATGAGAGAAAAATACTCTTTCATGCCCAAGGGTATTGGATAGGGAAATTCCACCCCTCAGTATTTTCAAATTTGGCAAATCCCTCGGCACAGCCTCAGGTTTTACCAAATTTGAAAACCCCTCGGATGGAATTTCCCTATCCTTCACCCCCGGGCATGAAAGAGTCTTATAATATATGTTTGGTCATACCTAATAAACATTCTTTTCACTACAGAGTGAACGGGAGAGTAGACGACAGAAGGCCAACAAAGAACACTATGAGGAACGAAAGAAATTACGGCGGACAGCAGGGGAGATAAGCAAAGAGTTTAAGGAAAAACCAAAGTACTGGATGGGCAAAAAAGTGACATGAAAAAAAATGAAATTATGAAAATGTTGTTTAATAGATGACTAAGTTTGGATTGAAAGTACAGTGGCAGTTTAATAAAGGGAGATGCAAATGAGCCATGAATATAAGTTGAGGAAATAGATGTACTAGTGAACTGACTTATATCTATGTATACCAACCGACAAGATTATACCTGGCTTCAGCAAAATGGTGTGTAACGGTATTCCAAGAAAGTACCAAATTATCCTTTATGTAGGAGTGTAGAGGAACATCATTGTCCTCGATGCTTTCCTGGAATTTCTGGCCATTTATGAATAAAATATTTGTCCATATTGTTATTAAGGCTATCTTAATGAATGTGTACTTGTATAAAAATGCAGTTCAAATTCATAATAATCTTAGTACCACTACTTAAAATGATCATGAATGGAGAAGTAAACAATAGCTTGAAAAAAAATAGTTTAATAATATGATACCTTGTGGTTTGTCATTTGTCATGTGACCTTTTTAAAGATGTAAAATTCCAAATGATGAACTGTTATAAGTTACAATCATTTGTAGTAATTGCCTAAATTTTAATTAATTACCAGGGCTATGGTCAGTGTAAAATATATGATCATTAAAAAATGAAAAAATTACCACAGAAGATGTTGATCTGTTATTATCACAGAAGATGTTGATCTGTTATTTACACAGAAGATGTTGGTCTGTTATTATCACAGAAGATGTTGGTCTGTTATTATCACAGAAAATGTTGATTTGTTATTATCACAGAAGATGTTGGTCTGTTATTAACACAGAAGATGTTGGTTAGTAATTATCACAGAAGATGTTGATCTGTTATTATCACAGAAGATGTTGGTCAGTTATTTACACAGAAGATGTTGGTCTGTTATTATCACAGAAGATGTTGGTCTGTTATTATCACAGAAAATGTTGATCTGTTATTATCACAGAAGATGTTGGTCTGTTATTAACACAGAAGATGTTGGTTTGTTATTATCACAGAAGATGTTGATCTGTTATTTACACAGAAGATGTTGGTCTGTTATTATCACAGAAGATGTTGGTCTGTTATTATCACAGAAAATGTTGATCTGTTATTATCACAGAAGATGTTGGTCTGTTATTAACACAGAAGATGTTGGTTAGTTATTATCACAGAAGATGTTGATCTGTTATTATCACAGAAGATGTTGGTCAGTTATTATCACCGAAGATGTTGGTCAGTTATTATCACAGAAGATGTTGGTCAGTTATTATCACAGAAGATGTTGGTCTGTTATTATCACAGAAGATGTTGGTCAGTTATTATCACAGAAGATGTTGGTCTGTTATTATCACAGAAGATGTTGATCTGTTATTATCACAGAAGATGTTGGTCAGTTATTATCACAGAATATGTTGGTCTGTTATTATCACAGAAGATGTTGATCTGTTATTATCACAGAAGGTGTTGGTCAGTTATTATCATAGAAGATGTTGGTCTGTTATTATCACAGAAGATGTTGATCTGTTGTTATCACAGAAGGTGTTGGTCAGTTAATATCATAGAAGATGTTGGTCAGTTTCTATCACAGAAGATGTTGATCTGTTATTATCACAGAAGATGTTGATCTGTTATTATCACAGAAGATGTTGGTCAGTTATTATCACAGAAGATGTTGGTCAGTTGTTATCACAGCAGATGTTGGTCTGTTATTATCACAGATGATGTTGATCTGTTATTATCACAGAAGATGTTGGTCAGTTATTATCACAGCAGATGTTGGTCTGTTATTATCACAGAAAATGTTGATCTGTTATTATCACAGAAGATGTTGGTCAGTTATTATCACAGAAGATGTTGGTCTGTTATTATCACAGGAGATGTTGGTTAGTAATTATCACAGAAGATGTTGATCTGTTATTATCACAGGATATGTTGGTCAGTTATTATCACCGATGATGTTGATCTGTTTTCATCAAAGATCATGTTCTTTATGCATTACCTTAAATTTTCATCAATTTTTGTTCTTATTGTTCTTTTTGTGAAGATCTGAATTAATGAAAAGAACAAGAGACTGCTATGTATGATCTTCATTTATTAGCTCACCTGCCCAAAGGGCAAGTGAGCTTATGTCGTGGTGCAGCATCCGTCATCAACTTTTCCTTTAAACAGCTTCTTCTGAAGAACAAACAGGCATAGAGCCATGATATTTGACTGAAAGCTTCGTTGGTAAGAGCCCAACAAAGTATTAGAGTGAAAATTACTTTGACATATTTTCAAGGTCACAGCGGTAAAATATGTCAAACATTTCAAACGACTTCTCCTGAAGTACTAAAGGGTATAGAATCTTCATATTTGGCTGGTGGCTTCCTGGGATAGAGCCCAACAAAGTTTGAGAATTAAAAATGACCTTGAGCTACTTTCAAGGTCACAAGTTTCAAATATGTCAAAAACATCAAACGACTTCTTCTGAATAATCGAAAGGCATACAATTATAATATTTGGCTGGTGGCTTCCTGGGATAGAGCTCACCAAAGTTTGCAGATAATAATGACCTCAACCTGTTTTAAAGGTCACAGAGGTCAACAACATTTCAAAGGATTTGTCCTGAAGAGGGAAATATCTGTAGTGCAATATAAAATTATATGAGAATATTTTCCTATGACTGCTTAGATATTCAGGTGAGTGATAAAGGCCCTCTATGCCTCTTGTTTGTAACTGAATTACCATTTGCTAGATTTTTATGGTTATATGGTTCCCACCCCTAGGGGCTCTGAGGGCTAAAAGTGGTCAAATTGGCTTAAATTTTAACAATCTTCTTCTCCAGACCCAGATATGCTTGAAACCAATACTCTTCATAGGTGAAAGGGTCTAGAGGTACTTTATCAAAATTGTGAATTTCATGACCCTCCAGCTTCACGTTTGCCCCTGGGGAAGGGGTGAAATTTACTATAGTTTATATAGGAAAATCCAACTTTTGGGTATATTTTGTTCATTTTCTACTGGAAATCATTCAAACTTGATTTACATTATAACCATGATATGACAGTTTGATACTTTGACATTTTCAACCCTGTCTCATCCCCAGGGGCTTGGGGGCAGAGCCCAAATCGGGTCATATAGCCAGAAATTTAAACAGTCATCTTCTCCAGACTGAAATAGGCTGGAAACCAATACTCATCATAGATGGAAGGGTCTTGAGGTGCTTTATCAAAATTGTGAATTTCATGACCCCCAGACTCCATGTTTGTCCCTGGAAAGGAAAATTATACTTTTGGGTATGTTTGGTTCATTTTCAATTGGAAATTATTCAAACTTGACAGACATTATAACTATGAAACAACGGTTTGATACTTTGACAGTTTAGTCCCAAGACTGCCCCCAAGGGCTGAGGGGCGGGGCTAAAAGATGTCAAATTGGCTTAAATTAAAAAATCTTATCCAGACCAAGATATGCTGGAAACAAATCATCTACATAGATAGAAGGGTCTTAAAGCACCTTATTCCCTAGGGATGGGGTAAAGTTTACTATAGTTATATAGAACAAGAGGCCCAGAGAGCCTGTATCGCTCACCTGGATATCTAAGCAATCATGGCAAAATATTCTCCAAATGAGATCCAAGGGAATATGCCAGACCCCAAGGCCAATCCTTGTAGGATATCTGTATTAGATTTTTCATGCCTAGCAATTTTATGTATGGTTATGGGGAGGGGATCTCAACTGTTTCCAAGCTGTTACTCAGAAACTAGGTCCCTAGGGTTGTGGCCAGACCAGGGGTGAAAGGGTTATCTGTTTCGAAATTATGACCAAGGGGTTAAGTCTCCAAGGGTGTGGCAGACCCCAAGGCCCTCCTGGAACCGTATGTGCATTCATCTCTTTATACTCAGCAATTGTATATATGGTTATAGGGTGGGGATCCCAACTGTTTCCAAGCTGTGACTAAGACACTATATCCCTAGGGGTTCGGTCAGACCCCAGGGTCTATTCTAATATGACTGCATTTGTCTCTTTATGCCCAACAATTGTATATATAGTTTTCCGGTAGGGATCTTAGCCGTTTCGAAGTTGTGACACAGGGGTTAATTCTCCAAGGGTGGGGCAGACCCCAAGGCCATCCTGGAAGCAAATGTGCATTCTTCTGTTTATACTCAGCAATTGTATAATATGGTTATACAGTTGGGATCTCAACCATTTCCAAGTAATACTTTTTTTTGGCCCAACCCCTTAGCCCGTGGGAATCATCCCCACCATTTGTACAATTTTGAATCCCTGCCTTCCATGAATGCTTCCGACCAAATATGATTGATATGCATGGCATGGTTCTACAGAAGAAGTCGTTTATAGCAATATTGCCCCTTGATTTGCAGTGCAGATATCTGGGGTCTGTTCCTTTCATAGAGAACATAGAACTGAGTATGTAGGTCCTCAGACGATTGTGTGTCAACTCCAGGTACAAACTGACCATAGAAGATGTTGGTCCTCAAACGATTGTGTATCTACTCGAGGTTTGGTTTATTTCGATTTTACGTCCTTTTAATAGCTGTGGTCATTTAAGGACGTGCCAGGTTTTGGTGGTGCAGGAAAGCCGGAGTTCCCGTAAAAAACCCACCGAGCTACGGCCAGTACCTGGCAGCTGACCCATGTAGGCCTCGAATCCGCGACCCAGTGGTGGAGGGCTAGTGGCAGCAGAATGTCAGACGAAATTAACCACTTGGCCACCGCGACCCCTCTACTCCAGGTACAAACTGACCACAGGATGTTGGTCCTCTGACGATTATATGTCAACTCCAGGCTTACTACTTATTTGTACGATAAGCGGTACGAATTCGACTTCCAGGTCGTGCATTTTACCTTTCTTGATAGCAAATTCCGTACACCCCTGCCTATGGTGTTAAAAACGGCAATGTTGATTTGGTACTCAAAGAGCCGAATAACATGACGTCCGTGATATATGTCGACTGCTGAAGAATAAATGTACAACAGGGTTCCAAAAGATGCAGGCTGATGACTATGGACAAGGTTCTTGGTTGCCGTATGGATATCGTAAGGAAATATGCTATTTGTTTCTGTTATATGAAGGTCGATGTTTTGATTATGCTCATTAGAGTGCCTTGTAGTTTTGTTGTCACTACCCTATTAACATGGCGGGTGTCAGCGGTGAAGCAGAAGACGCTTACTCCTCCGGAGCGTCTTATTTGTCTTGGTTTCCTTTTTTTTTTTAAATTGTTCAAATCCCCCCCTGTCATTTCACTGATTTAGTTTTGTTGAAACAGTTTAGATTGATGTATTTTGAATATTTATTTGCTTTTAAAGCTTTTGTCTAGAGTGGCAACAAGGTTTTTTCACTAAACAATGGTAGCGTTAACTAACATTTGAACAACCGGAGCCAGAGTGTAACCAACTAGTGAGTATCCATAACAAATCCTAGCAGGTTGATCCAACAAATGACCGTGAGTAAACCTATAGCAGTTGTGGGAGAAACTCCTTTGTACTATCATGTTTTACTGGTAAATGGCCTGATATAGTACACATGTGTCTATCTCTACATAGATTTTGTACAGTCGATTATGTATACATGTATCCAATGTGATGTAAATTCTGCTTAACAATATAATTATCATACGATGCATAGTTCCGGAAAGAAAGATACGGAAACTTCAGCTTGAGAATCTATATAAGTATATCTTAACACTTTTGTTTAGTGCTCATATACTTGTTAGCAGCTGTAAATCTATTTTCCTCACGTCACGTTGACAAAGTTATAAACGAAACTACAATCAGCGGTTAAGCCAGACTAACTCTACAATTCTGAATGGCTAGGACTACATATATTCTCCAAGCGGTGCTCTGTGTCTTCCTCAGCCTTTCACGGGATGTGGAGATGTCGGGTAAGTTTAAAATTCATTCACATTTCGTTTTTATAAAGATTGACAGGTTTCAGAGAGAGGATGTCACTTCTTACATCTCTCGCCTGTTTAAGAAAGGGAAAATGTCCTCCTTCGTATGTATCAATACATTTGTCATTTGTTTTACAAGACAGCGGACTACAGAGTTCAGAGAATCAGGTTGTCTGCAAGAATTTCGATTAATGCTAAGGTATAATATTAATAAGAGGATATTTCATGGTATCCCACCCAAAGTCTACCACATATCCTTCATGAGTATATCGGTATGTTCTGTCATACGAACGAAATAAAATATGGTATTCAACGGGGATTTTTTTTCTATTTATTTCTTTTTTACACTTCGCATAGTATCGTTCTTATTAGACAATACTAAAAGTGATATCTTTGCATGTGAAAGATATGACATTTTGCCTAATTTGTCATAAAAAGAACTACTTTCCAGCTTAATTATATGAGTTAACAATACTGAAACAGAGAATAAAGTCCATCTCCAATTTTGGAAAGTCATGGCTGCAATACAACTAAATCAGACCAAACTAAACCACATCAGATTTTAATGTAAAAGAAAACTTTCAAACCTAATCAGTATAATCGAACACATATATTAAAGAAGTTAGAAATGTCGACGATTTCCAGAAGATCGTTTTTCGATGGGGGATTTAAATCCTCGCTCTAATTCCCCATTTGGAAAGTTACACAACCTAGTGTCTGTCCTAGCAAAATGGTGGACAACACCTGTGAGAGCAATTTCTTCCATAATGGATGTCAATCTTCTCCGTGGAGCGTATTGCAAGGAACCCTCGATGAGAATACTGTCCGAGGCAGGAGCATATGAAATCCTAGGCCCGTGTTTACGAAACGGTTGTCATACTCAAGCAAGCTCGCGTAAATCATGTGACCCTGTCAAAAAGTCCAGTGTAAAATTTAAAAACGCTATGCGGCTTTAACTGTCGAAATTTCTTCCAAATCATTGACAAAATATGAATGTTTTCTAATTTATCACTAGGGTATTGAGGTTGGACTTGATCACAGAATCTGAGTCTGAGCCCCAGGACAAACAGCATCCTTTTTCTCTCAATACGAAAAACATTTCTAAACTATGCTTAGGACATCTCTTTAAGCAGAGATGAAATAACTTACAGCATATTTAGTTACGATAGATACATAAATGAAGTGTGTAAAAGGGGTGGGACTCATTATGTCGCTCTGTGCAGAAAGAAAGAAAAACATTTTTGCGGCTTGGCTGCATGACTGGCGAGAGGGTAAATACTAATTCCCTTTCATGAAGGAGGATGTCTCTTTTCAACCATTTCTGTCCAAAAGTACCATTATCAAAGTTGATTTGCTGTGATTGACCTTCACACCGGGCCTATACACCCCACCCCATCACTTAGCTGTTGATTGACTTTCACACCGGGCCTACACACCCCACTCCATCACTTAGCTGCTGATTGACCTTCACACCGGGCCTATCTATACACCCCACCCCCATCACTAAGCTGCTGATTGACCTATACACCCCACTCCCATCACTTAGCTGCTGAATGACCTTCACACCGGGCCTATACACCCCAACCCCATCACTTAGCTGCTGATTGACCTTCACACCGGGCCTATACACCCCACCCCAACACTTAGCTGCTGAATAACCTTCACACCGGGCCTATACACCCCACCCCAACACTTAGCTGCTGAATAACCTTCACACCGGGCCTATACACCCCACCCCCATTACTTAGCTGCTGATTGACCTTCACACCGGGCCTCTACCCCCCACCCCATCACTTAGCTGCTGATTGACCCTCACACCGGGCCTATCCCCCCCACCCCATCACTCAGCTGCTGATTGACCTTCACACCGGGCCTATACACCCCACCCCTATCACTTAGCTGCTGATTGACCTTCACACCGGGCCTATACACCCCACCCCCATCACTAAGCTGCTGATTGACCTTCACACCGGGCTATACACCCCACCCCATTACTTAGCTTCTGATTGACCTTCACACCGGGCTATACACCCCACCCATCACTTATGTATCCCGTGCCCACAACATTACGTGAAGTTTATTCTGGAAGGGTTATTTGTGAAGTGACGTAAAAAGGAAAGGAGTTGCATTTTTTTAAATGACTCCATCGATGAAGGGAGTTTGATCGTATGTGATATGATGTTTTCCTGTACGAAGGTAAATTAATTATTTATAAAAGAAGGGGGGGGGGGTCTCACTGACAATGCAGTTAATGTAAAAGGTAAAGGGTTGTTAACTTACTTGAATGCATCCGTGGACAGCCGCGATTCCTCGTGAAATGTTTGAGGAAAGAAAGATGACCTCCCTTGGGGTTAAATATTTTGTTGAATGTGGGAAATACAGGTAGAGTTATATACGAATGGACGTTTCAAATTATTGAACATTCCTTGACCAAGTGATTTTAATGGTTTCAATATGACAGTTTGGTGAAATGTAGACATACATCTTTAAATGACTACTAAATATTGTAATTAAAGTTGTCGGCAAAGACGCGTTTACTAACTTGATATCTGTCTGCAAACACTTTTACGTTTCCTGCATGTAAAAAGAAACAACACTTTTTAATAACAAAGGAAACTATATTGTGTACTATTTTGTTACTAGTTAATCATGGTTTTGCATTATAATCTCTCCGAATACCGATTAATGTTAAGGATAAGGGTTTACCTTTTTTGTACTCTACCAAACCATCATCAAATCGTCTCACTACTATATAGAGAATATGGATTGGAAGAAACCCATCTGTCTCAGCTGGCTGTTGGCAACATGACAAACATGACGGCTTGCTACTACAAAGAAATGTGACGAAGTTTACATCATATGCTTTACGTTTTTCCTACTTTGTCTGCGGTTTACACCGTATGATTTACATTTTTCCTCTTAAACTGCGGTTTAATTACACCGTACGATTTACGATTTCTCTCCTTTGTCCGCGGTTTACACCGTATGATTTACATTTTCCCTACTTTGTCCGCGGTTTACACCATATAATTTACATTTTTCCTCCTTAAACTGCGGTTTAATTACACCGTACGATTTACGATTTCTCTACTTTGTCCGCGGTTTACACCGTATGATTTACGTTTCCTCTACTTAACCTGCGGTTTAAACCGTATGTATGATTTGCGTTTTCCCTACTTAGACTGCGTTTTACATCGTATGATTTACGTTTTTCCTCCTTAAACCGCAGTTTAATTACACCGTATGCTTTATGTTTTTCCTCTACTTAAACCGCAGTTTAATTACACCGTATGCTTTATGTTTTTCCTCTACTTAAACCGCAGTTTAATTACACCGTATGCTTTATGTTTTTCCTCCCTGGCCGTGTTTTACACCGTATGCTTTTATGTTTTTTCTACTTTGTCCGTGGTCTTCACAGTATGCTTTATGTTTTTCCCTTTGTGTTTGGTCTTTTATCTTCATTTTTTAAACTTCAAACGTCCGTATGATGCACAAAAACCTAGCGTACGTTTGTGGGAAGGATCCTTGTATAACTTCAGTGATGTTATTTTTCTTGTCACGGTTGATTGATGTGTGTATGAGTATTAATAAATATCTAATTATCAAACATTCGTTTCAGAACTTGTTTCCCTGAACAGACCAACAGCCCAAAGTAGTACTTACTCGAACTACTTATCACAGAATGCAGTCGATGGGAATATAAGTCAAGAACTGGGGCGAAATTCATGTGTGCATCAGATTCATAACCATTCTGAGGTGTGGTGGGGGGTAAACCTACTGAATCCAGTCAACATAGAAAAGGTCGAAATAAATTACAGAGAAGAATTTTCTTTCCGTGGTAGGACAACTTATCATTATAAAGGTCTTCAAAAGTTAATGAATTAGCTCTCTCGACTTCTTCTGTAGAACTATGCACTTGATATCAATAATATTTGGTTGGAAGCATTCATACGAGGCGAGAATTCACAATTGTACAAATGGTGGGACTGACCCCCAGGGGGCTGAGGGGCGGGCCAAAAGGGTTATTTGGCTATATTGCTTTAAGTGACTTCTTCTATGGAACTAAGAGATAGATATCAACCATATTTCACTGGAAACATCCATAGGTAGTGGGGATTCAAAGTTGTACAAATTGTCGGGTTAACACCCAAGGAGCTGAGGGGCGTGGCCAAGAAAAGGTTATTTGGCTATATTGCTATAAACGACTTTTTCTGTAGAACTATGCACTTGATATCAATCATATTTGGTCGGAAGCATTCATGGGAGGCAGGGATACAAAAATATAAAAATGATGCATCATATTTGGTCGGAAGCATTAATAGGAGGTAGGGATACAAAATTGTACAAATATTGGGGTCGACACCCTGGGACTGAGGGGCATGGCAAAATGGGTAATTTTGCTAATTTGCTTTCAACGGCCTTCTCTGGAACTCAGCGATGGTTGTCAACTATATTTTGTTGGAATCATCCCTTCATGGTGGGGAAAACATTATTTTTACACTACGCATTGAAGAGAAAGTACCGTTCTGAGTAGAAATTACTAAAAGTGATATATTTACATGTGAAAGATATGACATTTTGTACATTTTGTCATAAAGGCCTACAACTGATCAAACTTCTCGGGACCTAGTTTCTCAGCCACAGCTTGGAAACAACTGAGATCTCCATCCTATTACCATATACACAATTGTTGAGTGTAAAGAGACGGACGCACTTATGCTTCCACCCTTGTAGACTTAACCCCTGGTCATAACTTTGAAACGATTGAGATCCGCACCCCAAAACTATAAATACAAATGCTTGGCATAAAGAGACGAATGCAGTCATGATATTAGAATTGACCCATGGGTCTTGTCAAACTCCTAGGGACCTGGTCTTGTTTCTGATCTACAGCTTGGAAACAGTTGAGATCCCCATCCCATAACCATACATAAACTTGCAGGGAATGAACAATTCAGATATGCTAAAAGGATTGGCCTTGGGGTCTTGCCATGATTCTTTAAAAATCCAGGGGAGGGATACAGGCCCTCTGGGCCTCTTGTACTAATAGTATGTGAATTCTGTTTTACACGATAATTTACCGGAAAAAGGTACGGAAAGTCCGGCTTCCGAAATTAAGTGTGCACAATCATACGCACACGTAATCAACATTAGCATCTGTTTACAATTGTGTTTATTGCTAATGTATTTGTTAGGAGCTCTAAATCAACTTTTCTAAAGTCACGTTGTTCCATTCTGAATGGCTTGGACTACGTATATTCTCCATACGGTGCTCTGTGCCTTCTTCAGCCTTTCACATGTTGTGGAAATGTCAGGTAAGTTTAAAATTCATTCACAGTTCTTTTTTTATAAAGAATGAACAGTTTCAGGGAGAGGATTTCACTTTGTACATGTACATACTCATCTCATTCAACTACTCTCGCCTGTTTAACATTGCGTTTGTCATTTGTTTGACAAGACAGCGGTCTACAGAGTTCTGAGTATCACGTTGCCCGCAAGAAACTTCGATTACTGCTGAGTTATATAAAGTGGATATTTCAAGGTTTATCACCCACAGTCTACTACATATCCTTCATAAGTATGGTACACTGTCGGTATGTTCTGTCATACGAACGAAATGTATATGGTAGTCATTTTTACACTACGCATTAAAGAGGAAATACCTTTCTGACTAGACAAAACTAAAAGTGATATCTTTATGACATTTTCTATATTTGGCATAAAAATAACTACTGTCCAGCTTAATTATTTGAGTTCACAAAAATGAAGAAGAAAATAAACTCAATCACCAATTTTGGAAAATGTGGTTGCATTACAACCGTTTTTTACTAAATCACATTAAACTAAACCCCAATTGATTGTACTGTACTAGGATACTTTTGTACTGAATCTGTGGAATAGGACACTTATATTAAAGTAGTTAGAAATGTGGTCAATTTCCACATGTATCAATAAAGAACTTTACTGTGAAGGAGTTAAGTCCTCTCTTTATTTCCCCATTCGGAAAGTTCAGTGAATTACACAACCTAGTGTCTGTCATAGCAAAATGGTGGCCAACTTTCCTTCAACTTGCGTAAATCACGTGACCCTGCCAAAAAGTCGAGTGTCAATTGATGAATGGATTTTTATCTTTTGTGATATGATGCTTTCCTGTACCAAGGTAAATTAATTATTTGTAAAATAAAGGGGGTCTCACTGACAATCGAACAGATATAAAAGATTAAGGGATTTTAGCTTACTTGAAAGGATGCACCCGTGGGCAACCGCGATTGCTAGTGACATGTTGGAGGTAAGAAAGATGACCTCCCTTGGGGTTAAATATTTTGTTTAATGTGGGAAAAACAGGTACAGTTATATACGAATGAACGTTTTAAATTCTTTAATTTTCCTGGCCAATTGATTTTAATGGTTTATAAATATGACAGTTTGGTGAAATGGAGATATACATCTTTAAATGACTACTAAAATTTCTAATTAAACTTGTTGGCTGAGACGCATTCACTTCCTTGATATTTGCAAACACTTTAACGTTTCCTGCATGTAAAATGAAATTACACTTTTTAATAACAAAGGACACGATACTGTGTTCTATTTTGCTACTAGTTAATCATGGTTTTGCATTATAAACTCTCCGAATATCGATTAATGTTAAGGATAAGGGTTTATCTTTTTTGTACTCTACCAAACCATTATCAAATCGTCTCACTACTATTCTTAATACTAATAAATGATCCAGGTGGAATAAAGATATTGGAAGAACTCAAAGATCTTTATATCAATGCTGATCCTCTGTTCCAGCTCGGTTTTGGCAAAATGACAAACATTTCGGCAAAATGTAAAGCATACGATGTAAACTGTATTACGTTTACTTCACGTTTTGCTTACTTTGTCTGCGTTTGACATCGTATGCTTTACGTTTTCCTTACTTTGTGTGCCTTTTACATGGAATGATTTACATTTTCCTACTTTTTTCGCATTTGAAATCGAATACTTCGTTTCCTTCTTTGTCTCCGGTTTATACCTATATAACATTATCATAATTAACACTTCCAGTTACATAAACATGATATCTCTAGAATTATACTACACAGAGAGTATACGTCTATGAAACAGCGTTATAAGATCAATACTTTGTGATGTAAAGAGTAGCAGACACAAATTTTTAAGTTCCAAATTCCGTGGGGCCGAGAGAATAATGCTCCACTAAATGAACTACATGTATTACTCTCTGCATCAAATACAAATGTATTCACACCAGGAGGGAAGAAGATTTGAATGGTACTGTAACTTTCCCGTTTCCCATGCTTTGTCCGCGGTTTACACCATATGACTAACGCTTTTTATGCGTTGTCCGCGGTTTATACCGTCTGATTTACGTATTCCATATTTTGTCGCGGTTTTCACTGTATGTTTTACGTTGCTCCTGCTTTGTTCGCGGTATTTGCCGTTAGCTATACGTTTCCCCTCCTTTTGTACACGTTTTACGTCGTACGCTTTACGTTTTCCTACATGGTCTGCGGTTTATACGGTATGCTTTACGTTTGCTCTGATTTGTCTGCAGTTTACAACGCATGCTTTACCTTTTCCCTACTTTGTCTGTGGTTTACACCGTATGTTTTACGTTTCCCCTGCTTACGCTGGTCATACGAGTAATATGCTTGTTGTATGGTTATACATCATGCGGCTTAAAGTTGCCTTGATACTTACTTACAAACTAGCGTACATATCTTTCTTCAATATTACTATTACTATTGCATAATCTGAATTCATACCATACAGTATTTGCAATGAAAACACGTGTATTTGTTTACAGTTTGGTTAAGTTTCGTGTATTTTGTCCTCACTTCGTCATTTTTTCGTCTATTGCCACATAGATGTAACTGCCGCACGACATACATGCTTATTTCAACATTCGGTAAAAAAAAAAACAACGTTTGAGGTTGTCAAAAACATGTGAATAGGGGTTACTATCTTGTTGAATAATTTGTGTGGTGTCGATGTTCTGTAATGTATCTTGCGGTTAAAAAACGTAATGACCTGTGCGGTTTTCAGTAATGCGTTCAGCGGTGATAACTTTATCGTAAATTGACACTTTCACTTTCACAAACATGTGAATAGGGGTTACTATCTTGTTGAATAATTTGTGTGGTGTCGATGTTCTGTAATGTATCTTGCGGTTAAAAAACGTAATGACATGTGCGGTTTTCAGTAATGCGTTCAGCGGTGATAACTTTATCGTAAATTGACACTTTCACTTACATAATCATGAACTCTTTAGAAGCATACTACACAGAGATTATAGTCTCTGTCCTACGTTATAATATCAATACATTGTGATGTAAAGAGTTGCAAACAAAAATAAACTCCTACATGTGTTACTATCTGCATCAAATACAAATTCATTTACATAAGGAAACAACGAAGTTTTGAATGGTACTGTTACCTTCCTGTTGTTTCAACCAAATACCAAATATCTGTATTGAACAGCATTGTGCTGTACGGTTGTAGCTCTAACACTTCCGTTAATGCCTCGAATGTCCCTACGCAGTGATAACACAGGTTTTGTCTTAGTTCAAATCCCCTGAAAATGAATAACCAGTCATTCAGATTGAGGATAAAATGTTTTCGATCATAGCCTAGTGAGCCTTTCCAAAAACGGCACATCCTCTGAATCTTTTGTTCTCATATTAGGTACCGGGCGAGGAGCACAACATACCTATCCCAACAGTATATTTGATTTCATCTCCATTTTTGCAGAGGTTAATGTTTATCCTGTCATGTATACTTGTTATTAAAGATACACACATAACAAACACAAGAAATAAGTTTGATTGGATTTATTGGTCACAACTTTCTAAACAGCCGTCGACCCAATAAGTCAATATGGGTGTAATTTGACAGACCACAATCAACGAACAAACAATTCAATAATCACTAATCAGCGGTTTCTTGGTATCAGCTCCCCGCTGATTATTGTACAAATCAATAGATTAAATGTTTGAGGGTGACCAACTCCCCGTTAATCAACAATTAACAGTTGCTGGGTATCAGCTCCCTGGTAATTATCAAGCAAATTCAAAATCAGCTATCAAATATCAATGTATTCAATATAACATAGATCAATGTTCATATATAAATCACAATAAGTGAAATGTCCATAATACTGTCAAATAGACATACTTGCCAGCTACATCAAATAGCTTGAAATCTGCTTAAAATAACTTATCTGCGAAATATGCAGCGCGAATACACATTTTTCTTACGGATACAGTTGATTGTGGTTGTTCCATTCTTTCACATAACACACAAGTCACAACAGCTATGTTTAGATCCCCCAAATCCCCTGTCCACTCTTATATGCCATGTTTGTTGACGCAGAAACTAAAATTTACAATAAAAAGCACACCAGCAGTATACCGCAATAAAGGGTTGGGAATGGGTGGGTTTATGAATATTTAGCTTCCAAAGCATTTTCAGATACTTAATATTATGCGAAAATCTTTTTGCGTTGATTCTAATGTGATCACGTCTGCACAACCGGAAACAGATGGCTATGGCCCGAGGGGAGATAACCATCGTCGATTCCGGAATTAAATTTTCAGGCGTTCACAACACCAAAAGTTTGTGTTTCCTTTAATAACCGTAACAGTGGTTTATTACACAATTGGTATTATATGTGAAGTGCTGTGTCAAAATTTTGCGTTTTCATATATAGAGCAGAATTCGCGCTACAGGATTCAGCTGCCAATATGGTACAGTTATATGCCGTTTTATATAACAAAATGTATATAGCACTCTCTAGATTGAAGTATATCATCAATATTTTTTCATCTTTCATGTTATCTTGTAATTTCTACTTCATTCACCTTTAAAAAAAAGAAAAGTCAACAATATTCGTTCAACAATGCATAACAAACAACCCATATACATAAACCCTTGTTGTACTTTTAATATTGGCCAAGCGATTTTCATTTTTTACAATTTAACTTAAGAATATTTTATCTAAAAGTAAGCAAAAAATCGGGATTAATAATAATACAAATACGCTCATCTGCTGAAGTGGGGTTTTAGTCGCATCACATGTTACACTTGCTACACCGCAAGGTATAATTACTATACCGCAAAAGTTTTTACTCGTTTGACCAGCTTACTGCTTTGTTCGCGGTAGTCTCCGTAAGCTTTACGTTTTCCCTCCTTTGACCGCGATTTACACAGTATGTTTTTCGTTTTCCATTTCTTTCACATATTCACGTTCATTAAGCTTTGAGTACTGTCTATCTTCATTTTGCAAACTTCAAATGTTCGTATAAAACACCAAAAATAATCGTACGTTTGTTGGAGGATTCATGTATAACTTAAGAGATGTAACTGTTCTTGTCACGATTGATTGATGTTTGTATAAGTATTAATAATTCACTGGACAGCACATATCATCTCATATCATCATAAAATAACGATAGTTTTGTCTTGATTGGCTTCCTTCTTTTTATCTTTAACGCAGGCAAAATTGTTCAATCATTCGATCGTTTCAGAACTAGTTTCTCTAAACGGACAAACAGTCGAAAGCAGTAGTTACCACTTACCAAAGTATGCTGTGGATGGGGATTTAAATTCATGTGCGTACCAGGCTCGTAGACAAGTTGAGGTGTATTTGAGGGTAAACCTACAGAGACGAGTCAACATAGAAAAGGTCGAAATACATTACAGAGAAGAACTTTCTGTCGTCAGTGGTAGGACTATTTTTCATTATAAAGGTGTTCAAGAGTTAATGATTCACTTCTCTCGAGCTTTTCAAGTTATGATCAATTTAGACAGAAAAATGCGTAAATAAACCAATAAACCACTTGCGCTTGCTCTGATGCATAATTTGTTTTCCTTGTGTAAAAATCTTGACGACAAAGGAAAAATGTACAGAGAATAACATGCATGTCATTCAATTAATGCAATTATTACGTTTTAAACAAAGTCTTTCTATCGAAACAAATATTTTGTGGTTAATATTGTAGACCTATTTGGAAATCGATTCTCTGGTTTCGAGGTGTACCTTTCGAATTCCACCCAGAGACGAAGAGAAGACCAATGTTCCAAGGACCAATCAGCGAACGTGAACCAATTTCAAAGTTTTGTAAGTCTCAAAGAGTGTAAAGGAACTGCACAATATGTGATTATATACAACCACCGGGAAACGCTTGGTTTACTTGACTTGCTTGACGACAACGCACTCCCAAAGCTGTGTGAAGTGAAGGTGTATGGTGAGTAGGTACCGAAGTCTCCATACTAGACCGAACGCTATCGGAAAGGTTAAGAAATGCATTATTGTTGTATTTGCCTGTTTCTTGTTGAACAGTCATCGCCACGAACATCCTAAAAATGCAAGAATTGGTCATTTATGAGGTTATCTCTCCAATTATTTTCAAAATGTGTCTTTTTTTATCCGACAGGATGTGACGAGGGCACATATGGAAATGGAAATTGTGACGAAACATGTTCCTCGAATTGTCCCGGCAGTCTCTGTTATCCAAATTCAGGAATTTGTCTGTGTATGTTATGGAATCTTTCATAGTTATTTTGCAATAGTATCCCTTAATATCTTTACAATGTTCGATAGACGATGATCATAATAAATATAATCTTCTTCCTCAAATTGTAATTTAAAATCTTATTTCTAAAAGAATATTTGACATTCATGTATTTCAAAATCCAACTTTGCTAATTAAAAAGACTGTTTTCCAAAACAATGGCAGCGATACATTTTAATGTTATTATTTCGATATGATACAAGACCGTGGTGACACCACAAATACCACACCGGGGACAACAGCCTGCCGACCTTGTCCAGGGTCATGTGCTGGTCCTTGTGACGATTCCGGATGTTGTAAGGGTAAGTGTAATTATTTATTTTAGGGGTTTGAATAGTTTTGGTATTATCATCTGATAAAAGTTTCTATTCAATCTTTCATAGTTATTTTGCAATAGTATCCCTTAATATCTTTACCATGTTCGATAGACGATGTTCATAATAAATGTAATCTTCTTCCTCAAATTTTAATTTAAAATCTTATTTCTAAAAAAAATATTTGACATTCATGTATTTCAAAATCCAACTTTGCTAATTAAAAAGACTCTTTTCCAAAACAATGGCAGCGATACATTTTAATGTTATTATTTCGATATGATACAAGACCATGGTGACACCACAAATACCACACCGGGGACAACAGCCTGCCGGCCTTGTCCAGGGTCATGTACTGGTCCTTGTGACGATTCCGGATGTTGTAAGGGTAAGTGTAATTATTTATTTTAGGGGTTTGAATAGTTTTGGTATTATCATCTGATAAAAGTTTCTATTCAATAAAACATAGGAAATGGATGACGGCGATATCAATTTGTCATTCATACATTTTATATCCTAACCTGAAGAAAAAACTTACTGTTGCTGTTGTCTTAAATTTGAAAACAATATTTCTAAAGTGCGATTAACAAGTTGCTATCACTTTATATGTACCTTGGATACCCGCATATAAATATTGAAATACATTGTGATGGATACAGCTGGTGGCAGAAGGATTGAACCACTGACCCTTGCTAGCCGCCATTAACAATTTATGGTTACTGCTGATAAAAACCTGACTATATTATCGTTACCATTGTCGGCCAATACACACTGGTTAGGTTATTCGGTGTCAATCATTTCCGATTTATACATTGTAATTTAGTCAACAGCGAACACCTCCTGGTATTGTAGTATTTTTATACAGTTATTGTGTTGATTCTCTTTTCAGATTTTGTATTTGAGTACGTAAACTTTGGTATTTGTACATTGTATATTTACATTGTGATATTTATGCCGTATGTACTGACGCTTTGGTATTTTAGTTCTAGTTTACTGATAAGGTGTTATTATTTTAACATTGTTTACTGACGAATTGGTATTTTGGTTATAGTACATTAAGACGGTGGTATTTTTTTCACATTGTTTACTGACGCTTTGATATTTTGGTTCAAGTAGATTAAGAAAGTGGTATTATTTTATCATTGTGAACTGACGCTTTAGTATTTTAGTTCTAGTATTAAGAAGGTGGTATTATTTTACCATTGTTTTTCTGACTAATTTGTATTTTGGTTCAAGCAGATTAAGAAGGTGGTATTATGTTATCATTGTATGTTGACGCTTTGGTATTTTAGTTCTAGTATACTAAGAAGGTGGTTTTATTTTTACACTGTTTTCTGACTTATTGGTTCAAGTAGATTAAGAAGGTGGTATTATTTTACCATTGTTTACTGACGCTTTGGTATTTTAGTTCTAGTATACTAAGAAGGTGGTATTATTTTATCATTGTGAACTGACGCTTTGGTATTTTAGTTCCAGTATTCTAAGTAGGTTGTATTATTTTATCATTGTTTACTGACGCTGAGATTGTTTTGGTTTTTTTCCTTTGTATACATTCTTTTTTAATTAGTGTAAATCATACACAGATTTTTGCAATGGCTGTTGTGTGTAGATTGTGCAATGAACCTCCTTCCACTGACAGATCAGTCAGGGATGAACATGTAGATAAGAATAGGTAGGGGAATTTTCTAGAGTTAGACAGTTATGACCGAAATACAACATATTGCAGCTTTTGTAGTGGTATGAAAAAGTTCCTTTTAATCCCTGCACGTGCCTCGTTACTTATGAACAAGGTGGTACCTCCTCATGAATAATTAATTTATATGATTTGTTTAAGAGGAAACGTACTAAAAAAAATGAGATCTTGCAAAAGGGGCCTACTCGGGCATGGACCCTGAATGTCGCGGCCGCAATGTGATGTTCAGCGTGGTGTGTTACAACTGTCAGTTCACAATAGGTATTGTTATTTCACACAATATCAACATTATTTTCGTAAGTTAACCTTATAATTAGCTGTCACAATGTAACAAAAGACTAAACAGTGTTGCTAAATGTTATTCACCCCACAGATGAGCAGGACACAGCCAGAATGACCAAGGAGCCTATTACTACCCCAGTGCTCGCCGGTGTGACTGGACTCTTAGCAATTCTGTTGATGGTTTCTGTCATCATTATTATCAAGTGAGTAAGCAATTATCAAGATTTGTAAAGCATTATGGTTCATTATTGGCTTTTAATTGGTTTTGAATAAATGAATCATTGTGTAAATGTTAAGAAATGCATTTCAACTTTATTAATTGAAAGAAGTATAAAAAACATACATATAAATATTTTTATTTATTTTTAAGACATTTTTATTACATAAATACGTAAACACCACATACACCCACATACACCCACATACATACAATTCCCATTAGCTTGGTTTGTCAATCATCTCTTTCATCGTCATCTCTTTCATCATCATTGTAATCGTCACTGTCAATCATCATCAATAGTAATACATCATTATCATCATTACCATTCTCATATTAATACATCATCATCAGAAATGCATTTCAACTTTATTTATTGAAAGAAGTATAAGAAACATACATATAAATATTTTTATTTATTTTTTAAGAAATTTTTATTACATAAATACGTAAACACCCTAGTCAATCATCATCAATAGTAATTCACCATTACCATTCTCATATTAATAGATCATCATCATCATCATCATCATCATCATCATCAATCATCATCATCATCATCATCATCATCATCATCATCATCATCATCATTCTTATATCAATACATCATCATCATCATCACCATCACCATCATCATCATCATCATCATCATCATCATCATCATTTTCATCAATATCAATGTAAAATCATTATTATTCATGCGTCTTCATCATCATCATCCTCATCCTCAATAATCATCAATAAATCTTCATCACCATTAATGCAAAATCATAATTTTCAATACATCATCATCATCATCATCATCATCATCATCATCATCATCAACATCAATGTGTCATCAATGTATCATCATTGTTACCATCATTATACTATATATGTACTTATAAGTACTGACAACCATACACAAACATTCATCCCACCATATATTCTGATAAAAACACACACACACAAACAAACACATACATCATACTAACCTGCATACGACACGTACACAGACATTCTCAGAGAGAGAGAGAGAGAGAGAGAGAGAGAGAGAGAGAGAGAGAGAGAGAGAGAGAGGTCCCATAATAATGCACATAGATGTCAAGGTTTGACAGGAAAAAATACATATTTATAGGATTACGGGTTATATTTCCAGGATATGTTTCCATTTTCTCCGATCAGTTTCAAACTTCCTTCTTATGTAGCTGTTTTTACTATTGTTAATATAGTTCTGGGCCCGTATTCATGAGACCGTTCTCATGCTCAAGCGTGGACTTTGTGCTCAAGCCGAATTTCTTATTTTCGTTATAAATGATTTAAGCGAGTTACAAAAAAAGTTGCTTTGAGGACAGAATCCAATCTTGAACATGAGTACTGTTTCATGAATACGGGCCCTGAACAAGGAAATGTTTTTTGATGACATTGATAAGTGCATTGAGACTCAAAGATTTGTGAAGACATATGGTTTTATATAAATAATGTTTGATAAGAATTAAAAAAAACATTATCAACAGTAGCTTGTGGTGATAATATTCCAAAAAGAAATGATTCCTTATCTATAAAAATAGGGTTTAGCAGAATGTCACAAAGAGTTTTAAGTCTCTATAGTAGTCCCTGCACTTCTTGACATTCCCATAAACAATGAGCTTTAGTTTCTCTTTCCATATTAAACAGAGTACATAAGGATTCTGGGATTTAAATTTGTTTTTAAAAGAAAAGTGTTAGTTACTTGAATACGGTGAATGAATTTTTTTTTTGTGACAGTAAATGGAATTCTAAGTATTTTCGGCCATTTATCAGTTTCAAACTCAAAGTCAAACTACTTATTCAATTTCTTCATCCAAGTAAGTGCTGCTGCTGGTGTAATTATGTAGTTATAGAAGTCTTTAGATCCTTTTTTATTCTTGAAGAAGTTTTCAAAAAAAAAGTGGTACAAAAGGTTGGGATGGTCTTCCTATCTGAAAATCATATTTCGTAAGAAAACGCTTGGTGATGAGACCAGTACTTGGTAATGGAGAAAGTTTGTGTTAATTCAAATTAAAAAAACAAAAATCTTCCCTTCTTGTATATCTGTGTTATACCAGAGTGGGTTTTTTAAGACAGAATCTTGTCTAACTTACCTCATGGAACTAGAATTATTCAGTATAACCCAACCTTTGAAGATATCTTCCAAAACATATTTTGGTAGTTAGATCCACATTTACGAATGTATTCTTTACTACAATTGTGCAACTTTTTTTTTACATCTATAATCAAATTTTAAAGCAAATTCCATTTTCCTGATGACTGAAGTACTCTTCTTACCCAACCTAGTTTCAGGGAATCTATAAAAGCATGTACGTCAACCTTTTATATCTTTATAATTTTGAAGTACTACATGTTTATTTTATTTTATGAGGTTTGCCATTCCACAGGAAATCAAATAATAGGGAATTCAGCTTTGTAATATATCTTTCAGTTGGGTTTGGTAAGGTAATAAAAAATAATTAAGCTGAGAAGTTAACAAAGACTATTTGATATTGAGTCTACCTATTGGAGTCAAGACTTCTCCTACTCCATATATCAATAAGAGATTTGAGTTTCACAATTTTTTTGATCAAAATTCATTCTGGGGATCTAGCTTAAATCAACCGAAAAATCTTTTCCTAAAAAAGTGAACTTCCCCCAAAGCAGAGTTATTTATGGCAAGAAAGTTTCCAGACTATATTCTCTACTGCCTATCCATGCAACCAGAGTTTTGTTAGTATTAATATTTAATCAGGATATCTTTGCAAAACTGTTTAATTCAAGGATTGAATCCTTTAGAGACCTCTCTGAACCATTTATTATTAAGCCCGTGTCATCAGCATATTGTACATTCAGAATATTTACATTTTGAAATTGGATTCCTTTAATATTTCTATTATTTCTTATTAGGGCCCCGTATCGGAGATACGTGTGCCCTATAGTTATCACTCTGTCTGTCTGTCTGTCTGTCTGTCCGTCCGTCAACAAATTGTGTTCATGACTCATAACTTTTGTATTTATTGATCGATGTACATGAAATTTGGTCAAGATGTTCAGTTTACAAAAATACACATTGAGGTAAAAAGTCAAGGTCACAGGTCAAGGCATCAGGTTCAAAGGTCAATGTCAAATTTTGCATCTTTTCACTGATAAACATTTTGTTATGACACTTTGAAGCAATGTTGCTCAGAATTAGACAAGGAGTCAATTGACCAAAGGTCAAGGTCAAAGGTCACAGTCAAATTTTGTCTTTTCCCTGATGAACATTTCATTATGACAATATGAGGCAAAGTTGGTCCGAGTTTAAAAAGGAGTAAACTGACTGAAGGTCAAGGTCATTTTATGTGATTATGGAGCAAACTTGTTCAGAGCTTAACACAGAGTCAACTGACCTTATGTCCAGGTTACGGGGTGGAAAGGGTCAAGGTCAAGTTTTGTGTTTTTCACTGATGAACATTTTGTTATGATATTATGAAGCAAAGTTGGTCGGAATTAAAGGATAAGTTAGCTGAATAAAGATCAGGGTCACTGGGTTAATGGTCAAGGCATATTGGGTCCAAAGGTCAAAGACAAAGTGGATATCTGACTTTGACCCTGGCTCTTGATGGAGGTATATAAGGTGAAATAAAACAAATCAAAGCTAACAAATGAGTATTGGAACAGTATTTACATTTCTGTAAACCCGGCAAATATGGAGGTGGAAGGAAAATGTATATTTTGCTTCCTTGCGATTCTTTTTGAACTCAAAACGGCAAGCTCAGCTATATGGGCAGATTGCTTCTTGATGAGACGGGGCCCTTACTGACATGTCAGTGTTCTAGTTCTTGCTGCTAGGCCTTCAACGCAAAGAATATAATTACATGGGGCAGTTGGATATTCATAGGTACAGAAATTGAAAGAAGAATAAAAACATACATATATTTTAAACAATTGCTGTTTTGAAAGGTTTTTTTATCTCTTCAAATTAGAATGAGAATAAAACAAACAACGCCCTCCCGAGATGAGAACCATCAAGGTATATATTTGGAACTGAATACTAAATGTACTTTCTGTAATTCAAATTAATATTTTATTCAAATGTATGTATACAAATATAACTCCATTTCTTCTGTAAATACAATTTATGTAGTAGTACATTTGTTGATAAGAGCTAGCAGAGAGGAGTTGATCACATAGTCCCCAGCTAATATAAATATTTTATAATTGTTAGGTAAACGAAAAGTAATCAATCACTATAAAGTGTTATGTTAGAAATAATATTCACTACCACATACAACTGTCATACTATTAAATGATGTCAAACCTTTGCTATTGTGTTTCCATGTTTTACAGAGGATACGTATGACGACCTGAACACAATGGCATTACAGCCACCGAATACCTATGATGATTTGAGGAATGTCAGTAACAGTCAGGGAAGAAAGTAGCACTGCCTGTTTGATAGTCTACAGTGACTTATATTATATTGCTTGTTTAGTAGTCTTAACACAGACTGACGTGACTTGTATATAAGTTGAGTATAAACATCACTTCATTTATAGGTCAGAATTGGTCACAAAAAAGTGCCCCTTGATAGTAAATCTGCCTGTAAGTGCCGAAAGTAAAAACTGAAAATAGCCCTTAGCAAAACTGACACGACATGTATGATCTGCTTGTTTAATAGTCGACACACAGACTCACATGACTTGTATGATATTGCTTGTTTAATAGTCGACACACAGACTCACATGACTTGTATGATTTTGCTTGTTTAATAGTCTGCACACAGACTGACACGACATGTATGATCTGCTTGTTTAATTGTCGACCCACACAGACTCACGTGACTTGTATATTTTGCTTGTTTAATAGTCGACACACAGACTCACATGACTTGTATGATTTTGCTTGTTTAATAGTCTGCACACAGACTGACACGACATATATGATATTGCTTGTTTAATAGTCTGCACACAGACTGACATGATTTGTATGGTATTGTTGTTTAATAGTCTACACACAGACTGACGTGATTTGTATGGTATTGCTTGTCATAGTCTACACACAGACTCACGTGACTTGTATATATTGCTTGTTGAATAGTCTACACATAGACTGACATGACTTGTATGGTATTGCTTGTTTAAGAGTCTACACACAGACTCACGAGACTTATATGGTATTGCTTGTTTAAGAGTCTACACACAGACTCGCGTGACTTGTATGGTATTGCTTGTTTAATAGTCTACACACAGACTCGCGTGACTTGTATGGTATTGTTTCGTTAAAAGACTTCGCTCAGACTCACGTGACGTGTATGGTATTGGTTGTTAATAGTCTACACACAGACACACGTGATTTGTATGGTATTGCTTGTTAATAGTCCACACACAGACTCACGTGACCTGTATGGTTCTGCTTGCTAATAGTCTACATAGACTCACGTGACTTTTATGATTTGCTTGTTTAATAGTCTACATTCAGACAGACGAGTTATGTTGATGATTGCCTGTTTTAACAGTATTTCCAATGTGTCTTTTTTGTACAGTTTGTATATAAGTTGAGTAAAAACATCATTTTTTTAGGTCAGAATTTGTCACGAAAAAGAGCCCTTGACGGTAAATATGCCTTTAAGCGGCGCATGTAGTTTTTTGTCGTTATCATTTTAAACTTTAGATTTTAAAAAAGGCATTTTCTCGCTTTGTTGCAATGGTAGAGTGAAAACTGAAATTATCCCTAAGCAAAACTGACCCTATCCATCCACACTATTTGACATATCCTGTGGAATGTCAGTTCATTTTATGTAATACTCCTTAAATTTATTTTCTACATTTGGGAATCATTTAAAACCGTCTCGATATCATATCGGAGACTATTATAACATATCCATGCTCACATTTGTACAAGATGTTGAAACTTAAATACAGATATTAATTGTATTACACAACCACAGCTGCGTAAGCAGGTATAGAATAGGACTATGTATCCACAATACAGAGATCGGGAAATATAACTTTAGTACTTTATCATTTACATTTGAAAAGTTTTTACTTTCCTTTAGCATCATAAGTCTTCAAAAAGGTTAGCGACAACAGTCTAACGTATATTAAAATGAACTGGTTAACACAATTATTGTTCGGTGCATTTGAAGCACATTCTTTATTGCTTGAGTGTATGTGTAGAAATTCCATGTACTAGAAATAAAATGCAAAAAATATATTGTATACTTTTTACATTTACTTCCTTTGCTTCCACCCTAACTCGTTGTTATTGAGATTCTTATGTTCTGTATGTGACATTATTTTCTTTGGGACCACTTATCCTCATTTATCATATTCCATTATATTATATTTTGCTATAGACCAATCACGTTGATGTAACAATCAATACCCAAACCGACAATATTTTGCCTAACAATTGTTTGTCAATGTAATATAATTTTGAGATGAAGTATTTATAATGCATGCATTTGGAGATAAAATATCTTATTGATAAAATATTTTAATCTCATGTTTCTGTATTGGACTTGTATCGTTTTGTTGTTTCCTTTAATTCTACATTCACAAAAAGATTATGTTTATTGTTTCTACATGTCAGTTGTTATAGAAAAAACAAAGTAGGGAACCTTATTTTGATTATGTGTAATTCTTTGTTCTACATTTTTGGTATAAGTCTGTAATTGGAATCATCTGATTCTGCACCTATAGTAGATATGTTGATTTATTTATTTTCCGTTCTTTGTCATCCTCTACTATTCCAAGATCTCCAGACAATTAAATATCATCTGTGTTGCCTGTGTTTGTTTTTCACTAGCAAAATATACATACTATGGTGGTGCGATGATAAGTTTCTGCTATGTTTGATATCCCGAGTGGATCAAGTGGCTCCACTGGCCGAAATACTGGGGGATGTGATAGTAGAGAGTTCAATTTTTGGTTAGAAATTAATGACTCAGTCCATGTAAACGGAACTAGTGATACACTTTTCATTGTTAATAACTTGTTTTAAGTGGCAACAATCTTTTCACTAAACACTGGTTAGCGCTAGCTAACCTTTGAGCAACCGGAGCAACAGTGTTACCAACTAGTGAGTACACAAAAACATTCACCAAATCCTAGCAGGTTTATCCAACAAATGGCAGTGAGTAAACCTAAAGTGATTGTGGGAGAAACTCATTTCTACTGTTAACTATACATTATCTCTATCTAATCATGATGTTCTATTAAATACCCTGATGTAATATTATATACAATTTCTTCAAACGACTTCTTCTTCTTAACCAATGATTGGAATTTAACTAAATATGACTGGAAGCATCCCTAGGTGGTGGTGATTCGAAATTGTATAAATATAGTTGGGCTGCCCCCCCCCCCCCCCCCCCCCCTACGAGGCTGAAGGGTGGGGCCAAAAATGGTAATTTGGCTATTGCTTTAATAGAGGTTACACAACTAGTGGTTGTTGAATATGGTATTTATTTCACTCGAGTTGGTTAATTTTCAAAAGTTACAAAACACACGAGCTTTAGTTTGTTTTGTTGACAAGGCTGTCGTAGTGATATGACCCATGTGTAAAAACCACTCATTAATATTCAAAAATGCCTTTCAAAATTAATGTTTTGGCAACAACTTCGTGAAAAAAAAAAAAAAAAAAAAAAAAAAAAAAAAAACTTTAAATATTGAGAGTATGCAATATTGCATTAACTAATATAAATTAACCACGGACTATATGCACGTTAGCATATCGTTCGAAGTCTGCTTCCCGCCAAGTGATGAAGACGAACTGATCGCTGTCAATGGCCAAAACTATATGCCTGTGACGTTTCTTCGTGAGGTTCTATGGTTGACGTTTATAGCGAGAGTTCCGCCATAGACAGGCCCTCCGAATATTAATAACTGGACATGGGGAGAGCGATATATGTTCCGACCCTATCACAGATCTTGTTTGGGTTCACATATACATTACGTCTCTTGGTTTCACGACATTGGAGACGCGACGGTATGGCGTCGAAACGATATTGAGCGTCTGTAGCAATTTTGCCTGAAACTAGCATTCAAATCTTTAAGCATCAACTTTTAGTATTGCCTAAATAATATCCTTTTCTCATCGCATAATCTCACAAAGGTCACCAACATTTGCGGGATTTTGACATCAGACGACGTAAACAAAAAAGGACGCGGCAAAAAGCGCGTGAAAAAAATCGTCCGGTCAAGGTTCATCTTCTCGACCGATCAAAACTACGGATGGTCATATACCAAGTGTGGTGTATAACTCATATTTATTAAACAGTCTGCATGTTTATACAATGATCTGAGAGTGGAATAACACAGCGCATTGTGGTAGAAAGCGACTTCTTCTCTGGAACTCAGCGATGGATATCAACCATATTTGACTGGAAACATCCATAGGTAGTGGGGATTTAAAGTTTTACAAATGGTTAACACCCAAGGGGGATGAGAGGCGTGGCCAAGAAAAGGTTATTTGGATTTATTGCTATAAACGACTTTTTCTGTAGAGCTATGCACTTGATATCAATCATATTTGGTCGGAAGCATTAACGGGAGGTAGGGATACAAAATTGTACAAATAATCGGGTTGACACCCTGGGACTAAGGGGCATGCCAAAATGGGTAATTTTGCTAATTTGCTTTAAACGGCCTTCTCTGGAATTCAGCGATGGATATCAACTATATTTTGTTGGAATCATCCCTTCATGGTGAGGAAAACATTATTTTTACACTACGCATTGAAGAGAAAGTACCGTTCTGATTTGACAATACTAAAAGTGATATATTTACATGTGAAAGATACGACATTTTGTATATTTTGTCATAATGGCCTGCTACCAAAGAGATCCCCTACCCAAAACTATATATACAAATGCTGGGCATAAAGAGACGATTTCAGTCATGATATTAGAATTGACCCTGGGTACTGGTCAAACTCCTCTGGACCTAGTTTCTGAGCCACACCTGAGATCCCAATCCTATACCCATATACACAATTGCTGAGTGTAAAGAGACGAACGCACTTATGCTTCCAGGATGGCCTGGGTCTGTCCCACCCTTGCAGACTTAACCCATAGATCATAACTTTAAAACGAATAAGATCCGCACCCCAAAACTATAAATACAAATGCTGGACATAAAGAGACGAACGCAGTCATGATATTAGAATTGACCCCGTAGTGTGTCCCACCCTTGCAGACTTAACCCCTGGATCAAAACTTTGAAACGATTGAGATCCGCACCCAAAACTAGAAATAAAAATGCTAGGCATAAAGAGACGAATGCAGTCATGATATTATAATTTACCCTTGGGTCTTGTCAAACACCTAGGGACCTGGTCTGGTTTCAGAGCTACAGCTTGGAAACAGTTGAGATCCCCATCCATAACCATACATAAATTTGCAGGGAATGAACAACTCAGATCTGATGCAAGGATTGGCCTTCTGGTCTGGCCCATCCCCTTTGATTTTATTTGGAGAATATTTTGCCATGATTCTTTAAAGATAGAGGTGAGGGATACAGGCCCTCTGGGTCTCTTGTACTTATATGTAAATTCTGCTTTACACAATAATTTACATGCAAATAGTAGTCCCGGGAACGGTACGGAAAGTCCGGCTTCCGAAATTAAGTGGGCAAAATCATACGCACGTACTCAACATTAGTATCTGTTCACAATTGTGTTTAGTGCTGATGTATTTGTTAGAAACTATTTTTCTAAAGTCACGTTGTTCCATTCTGAATGGCTTGGACTACGTATATTCTCCATACGGTGCTCTGTGCCTTCTTCAGCCTTTCACATGTTGTGGAAATGTCAGGTAAGTTTAAAATTCATTCACAGTTCTTTTTTTTATAAAGAATGAACAGTTTCAGGGAGAGGATTTTACTTTGTACATGTACATACTCATCTCATTTAACTACTCTCGCCTGTTTAACATTGCGTTTGTCATTTGTTTGACAAGACAGCGTTCTACAGAGTTCTGAGTACCGCGTTGCCCGCAAGAAACTTCGATTACTGCTGAGGTATATAAAGTGGATATTTCAAGGTTTATCACCCATAGTCTACTACATATGCTTCATAAGTATGGAAGACTGTCGGTATGTTCTGTCATACGAACGAAATGTATATGGTAGTCATTTTTACACTACGCATTAAAGAGGAAATACCTTTCTGACTAGACAAAACTAAAAGTGATATCTTTATGACATTTTGAATGTTTTGTCATAAAAATAACTACTGTCCAGCTTAATTATTTGAGTTCCCAATAATGAAGAAGAAAATAAACTCAATGAACTTTCCTGTGAAGGATTTAAGTCCTCTTTTTATTTCCCCATTTGGAAAGTTCAGGGAATTACACAACCTAGTGTCTGTCATAGCAAAATGGTGGACAACCTGTGCGATTGCCAACTTTCCTTCAACTCGCATAAATCACGTGACCCTGTCAAAAAGTCAAGTGTCCATAAATGAAGGGATTTTTATCTTATGTGAGATGATGCTTTCCTGTACGAAGATAAATTAATGATCAATAAAAGAAAGAGGATCTCCCTGACAATCGAATAGATATAAAAGAGGATGCACCCGTTGGCAACTGCGATTGCTAGTGACAGTGTTGGAGGAAAGAAAGATGATCTCCCTTGGGGTTGAATATTTTGTTAAATGTGGGAAATACAGGTAGAGTTATATAGGAATGGACGTTTTAAATTCTTTAATATTCCTTGACTAATTGATTTTAATGGTTTTATAAATATGACAGTGTGGTGAAATGGAGACATACATCTTTAAATGACCACTAAATATTCGAATTAAACTTGTCGGCAGAGACGCGTGAACTAACTTGATATCTGTCTGCAAACACTTTAACGTTTCCTGTAAGTAAAAAGAAATAACACTTTTTAATAACAAAGGAAACTATATTGTGTTCTATTTTGTTACTAGTTAATCATGGTTTTGCATTATAAGCTCTCCGAATTTCGATTAATGTTAAGGATAAGGGTTTATCTTTTTTATACTCTACCAAACCATCATCAAATCGTCTCACTACTATTCTTAATACTAGTAAATGAGGGTTACAGTCGTGACACCGTATAATCCAGAGTTGGAATAACGATATTGGAAGAACTCATTGATCTTAATGCTGATCCTCTGGCCAAGCTGGCTGTTGGCAAAATGACAAACACGACGGCAAAACGTAAAGCATACGATGTAATCTGCGTCACGTCTACTTCACGTTTTTCCTACTTTGTCTGCGTTTTACATCGTATGCTTTACGTTTTTCCTACTTTGTCTGCGTTTTACATCGTATGCTTTACGTTTTTCCTACTTTGTCTGCGTTTTACATCGTATGCTTTACGTTTTTCCTACTTTGTCTGCGTTTTACATCGTATGCTTTACGTTTTTCCTACTTTGTCTGCGTTTTACATCGTATGCTTTACGTTTTTCCTACTTTGTCTGCGTTTTACATCGTATGCTTTACGTTTTTCCTACGTTGTCCGTATGCTTTACGTTTTTTTCTGATTGGTCTGTGTTTTACATCGTATGCTTTACGTTTTTCCTACTTTGTCTGCGTTTTACATCGTATGCTTTACGTTTTTCCTACTTTGTCTGCGTTTTACATCGTATGCTTTACGTTTTTCCTACTTTGTCTGCGTTTTACATCGTATGCTTTACGTTTTTCCTACTTTGTCTGCGTTTTACATCGTATGCTTTACGTTTTTCCTACGTTGTCTGTGTTTTACATCGTATGCTTTACGTTTTTCCTACTTTGTCTGCGTTTTACATCGTATGCTTTACGTTTTTCCTACTTTGTCTGCGTTTTACATCGTATGCTTTACGTTTTTCCTACTTTGTCTGCGTTTTACATCGTATGCTTTACGTTTTTCCTACTTTGTCTGCGTTTTACATCGTATGCTTTACGTTTTTCCTACGTTGTCCGTATGCTTTACGTTTTTTTCTGATTGGTCTGTGTTTTACATCGTATGCTTTACGTTTTTTTCTGATTGGTCTGTGTTTTACATCGTATGCTTTACGTTTTTCCTACTTTGTCTGCGTTTTACATCGTATGCTTTACGTTTTTCCTACTTTGTCTGTGTTTTACATCGTATGCTTTACGTTTTTCCTACTTTGTTTGCGTTGCTTTACGTTTTTCTTACTTTGTCTGCGTTTGACATAGTATGATTTACGTTTTCCCTACATTTTTCTCGTTTTACATCATTTACTTTGTTTCCTACTTTGTCTCCGGTTTATACCGTATAACTTGATCATAATTGATACCTTCAGTTGCATAATCATAAAATCTCCAGAATCAAACTACACAGAGAGTGTACGACGTCTCTTTGATGGCGTTATAAAATCAATACATTGATGTAAAAGTGGCATACAAAAATGTTTGAAGTTTCAAATTCCGTGGGGCCAGGAGAATAATGCTCCATTAAATGAACTATTACATGTATTACTCTCTGCATCAAATACAAATTTATTTACATCAGGAAGGAAGAAGATTTGAATGGTACTGTAACTTTCCCGTTTCCCCTGCTTTGTCCGCTGTTTACACCGTATGATAAACGCTTTCTATACGTTGTGGGCGGTTTATACCGTCTGATTTACGTTTTCCATATTTTTGCCGCGGTTTTCATGGTATGTTTTACGTTGCTCCTGCTTTGTTCGCGGTATTTGCCGTTAGCTATACGTTTTGTACACGTTTTATATCGTACACTTCACGTTTTCCTTCATGGTTTATGGTTTATACGGTATGCTTTACGTTTGCCCTGCTTTCTCTGCGGTTAACATAATATGTTTTACGTTTCCCTATTTTCTCTGCGGTCAGTTTTTCGTCTATTGCCCCATAGATGTAGCTTGTCACACGACATACATGCTTATTACAACATTCGGTTGTTTTTTTAAACGCCTCAGGTTGTCAAAAATATGTGAATAGGGGTTAAAATCTTGTTGAATAATTTGTGTGGTGTCAATGTTCTGTAATGTATCTTGCGGTTAAAAATCGTAATGACTTGTGCGGTTTTCAGTAATGCGTTCAGCGGTGATAACTTTATCGTAAATTGACACTTTGCCTACTTTGTCTGAGGTTTACACCGTATGTTTTACGTTTCCCTATTTTCTCTGCGGTTAACACCATGTGTTTTACGTTTAACCTATTTTCCATCGGTTTAANCATCAAATACAAATACATTTACATCAGGAAACAACGAAGTTTTGAATGGTACTGTAACCTTCCTGTTGTTTCGACCAAATACCGAATATCTGTATTGAACAGCATTGTGATGTACGGCTGTAGCTCTAAAACTTCCGTTAATGCCTCGAATGTCCCTACGCAGTGATAACACAGGTTTTGCCTTAGTTCAAATACCCTGAAAATGAATAAACAGTCATTCAGATTGTGGATAAAATGTTTTCGATCATTGCTTAGTGAGCCTTTCCACGTCCTCTGAAGTTCTTATTCTCATATAAGGTACCGGGCGAGGAGCACAACATACCTATCCCAACAGTATATCTGATTTCATCTCCATTTTTGCAGAGGTTAATGTTTATCCTGTCATGTATACTTGTTATTAAAGATACACACATAACAAACACAAGAAATAAGTTTGATTGGATTTATTGGTCACAACTTTCTAAACGGCCGTCGACCCAATAAGTCAATATGGGTGTAATTTGACAGACCACAATCAACAAACAAACAATTCAATAATCAATAATCAGCGGTTTCGTGGTATCAGCTCTCCTGAGATTAACTGTTTGAGGGTGACCAACTCCCCGTTAATCAATAGTTAAAAAAATTCTGGGTATCAGCTCCCTGGTAATTATCAAGCAAATTCAAAATCAGCTATCAAATATCAAGCTGCACATGTATTCAATATAACATTGATCAATTTTCATATATAAATCACTATAAGTGAAATGTCCATAATACTGTCAAATAGTCATACTTGCCAGCTGCATCGAATAGCTTGAAATCTGCTTAAAATAACTTATCTGCGAAATATGCAGCGCGAATACACATTTTTCTTACGGATACAGTTGATTGTGGTTGTTCCATTCTTTCACATAACACACAAGTCACAACAGCCGTTGTTTAGATCCCCCCAAATCCCCTGTCCACTCTTATATGCCATGTTTGTTGACGCAGAAATTAAAATTTACAATAAAAAGCACACCAGCACACCAGCAGTATACCGCAATAAAGAATGGGTGGGTTTATGAATATTTAGCTTCCAAAGCATTTTCAGATACTTAATATTATGCGATAATCTTTTTGCGTTGATTCTAATGTGATCACGTCTGCACAACCGGAAACAGATGGCTATGGCCCGAGGGGAGATAACCATCGTCGATTCCGGAATTAAATTTTCAGGCGTTCACAACACCAATTGTTTGTGTTTCCTTTAATAACCGTACATAGAGCAGAATTCGCGCTACAGGATTCACCTCAGTCAAATTCATACACAACAGACAACTACTAGTTAAGTTTCCTAATTTCATGTTTTTGGTGTTGCCCGTCTGACATTGAGTTTAAATTGGGTATTTTGTTTTACTACTAATATGTTAATAGAACGATGATTCCTATAAAATAAAACCAAATATACTACAATGCACTTATAACACCGCTAATAACATTACCCGAAAGACCGATAACACCGCATTTAATATAACTTAGGACCGCTTAATACTTTACTCAACATCTGCCAATATGGTACAGTTATATGCCGTTTTATATAACAAAATGTATACAGCACTCTCTAGATTGAAGTATATTATCAATATTTTTTCATCTTTCATGTTATCTTGTAATTTCTACTTCATTCACCTTTAAAAAAGAAAAGTCAACAATATTCGTTCAACAATGCATAACAAACACTCCATATACATATACCCTTGTTGTACATTTAATATTGGCCAAACGACTTTCAATTTTTACAATTTAACTTAAGAATATTTAATCTAAAAGTAAGCAAAAAGTCGGGATTAATAATAATACAAATACGCTCATCTGCTGACGTGGGGTTTAGGTCGCATCACTTGTTACACTTGCTACACCGCAAGGTATATTACTATACCGCAAAGGTTTTTACTCGTATGACCAGCTTACTGCTTTGTTCGCGGTAGTTTCCGTAAGCTTTACGTTTTCCCTCCTTTAACCGCGGTTTACACAGTATTGTTTTTTGTTTTTCCATTTCTTTCACATATTTACGTTCATAACGCTTTCAGTACTGTCTATCTTCATTCTGCAAACTTCAAACGTACGTATAAAACACCAAACATAATCGTACGTTTGTGGGAGGATTCATGTATAACTTAAGAGATGTAACTGTTCTTGTCACGATTGATTGATGCTTGTATGAGTATCAATAATTCACTGGAAAACCCATATCATCTCATATTATCATAAAATAACGATAGTTTTGTCATGATTAGCTTCCTTCTTTGTATCTTTAACGCAGGCAAAATTGTTCAATCATTCGATCGTTTCAGAACTAGTTTCTCTAAACGGACAAACAGTCGAAAGCAGTAATTACCACTCACCAAGGTATGCTGTGGATGGGGATTTAAATTCATGTGCGTACCAGGCTCGTGAACAACCTGAGGTGTATTTGAGGGTAAACCTACAGAGACAAGTCAACATAGAAAAGGTCGAAATACATGACGGAGAAGAACTTCCTTTCAGTGGTAGGACTATTTTTCATTATAAAAGTGTTCAAGAGTTAATGATTCACTTCTCTCGAGCTTCTCAAGTTATGATCAATTTAGGCAGAAAAATGCGTAAATAAACCAATAAACCACTTGCGCTTGCTCTGATGCCTAATTTGTTTTCCTTGTGTAAAAATCTTGACAACAAAGGAAAAAATGTACAGAGAATAACGTGCATGTCATTCAATTAATGCAATGTTTACGTTTTAAATTACATCTTTCTATCGAAACAAATATTTTGTGGTTAATATTGTAGACCTATTTGGAAATCGATTCTCTGGTTTCGAGGTGTACCTTTCGAATTCCACCCAGAGACGAAGAGAAGACCAATGTTCCAAGGACCAATCAGCGAACGTGAACCAATTTCAAAGTTTTGTAAGTCTCAAAGAGTGTAAAGGAACTGCACAATATGTGATTATATACAACCACCGGGAAACGCTTGGTTTACTTGACTTGCTTGAGGACAACGTACTCCAAAAGCTGTGTGAAGTGAAGGTGTATGGTGAGTAGGTACCGAAGTCTCCATACTAGACCGAACGCTATCGGAAAGGTTAAGAAATACATTATTGTTGTATTTGCCTGTTTCTTGTTGAACAGTTATCGCCACGAACATCCTAAAAATGCAAGAATTGGTCATTTTTGAGGTTATTTCACCAAGTATTATCATAATGTGTCTTTTTTATCCGACAGGATGTGACGAGGGCACATATGGATATGGAAATTGTGACGAAACATGTTCCTCGAATTGTCCCGGCAGTCTCTGTCATCCAAATTCAGGAGTTTGTCTGTGTATGTTATGGAATCTTTCATAGTTATTTTGCAATATTCTCCCTTATCTTCTTTACAATATTCGATAGACAATGTTCATAAAAAATTGTAATTTAAAATCTTGTTTCCAAAAACTACTTTGGCATTCAAACTTTGCTAATCAAAGAGACTGAAGAAAGAGTCCTATTATTACTATAAACGGTATTTCTAAAGTGCGACTAACAAGTTGCTATAATTGTATATGTACCTTGGATACCCGTATAATAACATTGAAATATATTTTGATGGATATAGCTGGTGGCAGCAGGATTAAATAACTGACCCTTGCTAGCCGCCATTAACAATTTATGGTTACTGCTGATAAAAACGTGCCTACATGATCGTTACCATTGTCGTCCCATACACACTGATTAGGTTATTCGGTGTCAATCATTTCCGACTTATACATTGTACAAACATTGTAATGTAGTCAACAGCGAACACATCCCGGTAATGTTGTATCTGTATACAGTTATTGTTTTGATTATCTCTTCAGATTTTGTATTTGAGTATTACATTGTGATATTTTACCGTCTGTAATGTCGTTGTGGTAAGTTAGGTTCTAGTGTACTGAGAAGGTGGTATCAGTTTAACATTGTGAACTAACGTTTTGGTAAGTTAGATTATAGTATACCAAGTGGGTTATATTAGTTAAACATTGTGTACTGACGCTTTGGTATTTTGGTTCTAGTATACCAAGTGGGTTACATTAGTTAAACATTGTGTAGTGACGCTTTGGTATTTTGGTTCTAGTATATCAAGTGAGTGGTATTAGTTAAATATTGTTTACTGACGCTTTGGTATTTTGGTTCTAGTATACCAAGTAAGTGGTATTAATGAAACATTGTGTACTGACGTTGTGGTATTTTTGGTTCCAGTATACGAAGAAGGTGGTATTATTTTATCATTGTTTACTGACGCTGAGATAGTTTTTCCTTTGTATACATTTTTTTTAATTAGTGTAAATCATACACAGATTTTGACTTTGGCTGTTGTTTGTAGTTTGTGCTAGGAGCCTCCATCCACTGACAGATCAGTCAGGGATGAACCTGTAGATAAGACTAGGTAGGGGAATTTCTAGACTTAGACAGTAATGACTGAAAAACAACATATTGCAGCTTTTGTAGTGGTATGAGAAAGCTACTTTTAATGGCTGCACGTGCTTCATTACTTATGAACAATAATTGGTTCCTACTCATGAATAGCTAATCTACATATTTTGTTAAAAAGGAAATGTACTAGATTTTTATGGAGATCTTTCAGAGGGGGCCTACTCGGGCATGGACCTTGACTGTCGCGGCCACAATGTGAAGTAAATGAAAACCCGCAATGTGTTTTTAAGCGTGGTGTGTTACAGCTGTCAGTTCACAACAAATATTGTTATTTTACACAATATCAACATTAATTTCGTCTGTCAACCTTACAATTAGCTGTTACAATGTAACGAAAGAATAAAGTGTGTTTCTAAATGTTATCCTCCCCCACAGATGAGCAGGACAAAGCAAGAATGACCAAGGTGCCTATTACTACCCCAGTGCTCGCCGGTGTGGCTGGACTCTTAGCAATTCTGTTGATGGTTTCTGTCATCATTATTTTCAAGTAAGTAAGCATTTATTTTTATCAAGATCCATAATTTGTTAACGCATTATGGTTCATTATTGCCTTTTGATCGATTTTGAATAAATGGATCCTTGTGTTATCGTAAACAAACGCGTTTCAACTTTATTAACTGAAAGCAGAATAAAAATCATACATTTATTTCAAACAATTATTTTTCTCTCTTCAAATTAGAATGAGAATAAAACGAACAGCGCCTTCCGGAGATGAAAACCATCAAGGTATATATTTTGATCTGAATACATTTAGAACTTTCTGTAACTCAAATGAATATTTTTATACAAATCATTTTATACAAATATAACTCCATTTCTTCTGTAAATACAAATTATGTAGTAGTGAATTTGTTGATTAGAGCTAACAGAGTTCACCTATTGGTATCCTCGGCTAATATAAATATTTCATAACTATTATGTATAAGGAAAAGTTATCAATCACTATATAGTGTTATGTAAGAAATAATATTCACTACCACATACAACTGTCATACTATTTATTGATGTCAGACCTTTACTATTGTGTTTCCATGTTTTACAGAGAATACGTATGACGACCTCAACACAATGGCATTACAGCCACAGAACACCTATGATGATTTGAGGAATGCCAGTAGCAGTCAGGGAAGCAAGTAGCACTGCCTTTTTGATAGTCTACAGTGACTTGTATGATATTGCTTGTTTAGTAGTCGTAACACAGACTGACGTGATTTGTGTGATATTACTTGTTTAATAGTCTACACACAAACTAACATGACTTGTATGATATTGCTTGTTTAATAGTCTACAGTGACTTGTATGATATTTCTTGCGTAATATTCTTAACACAGACTGACGTGACTTGTATTTTATTGTTTGTTTAATATTCTAGGAGTGTACAGCGAATTGGATTATTTTCTTTGTTTAATAGTAAAAAGCTAATTGTATGATATTGCTTGTTTAATAGTTTACAAACAAACTGACGTAACTTGTATTATATCGTTTGTTTAATAATTCAGGAGTGTACAGCGAATTGTATTATTTTCCTTGTTTAAGAGTTTTATGATATTGTTCTTTTAGTAGTCTACACACAGACTGACAGGACTTGTTTGATAGTGCTTGTTTAAGTCTACACACAGACTGACGTGACTTTGGTGATATTGCTTGTTTAATAAGCTGCACTCAGACAACTGACTTGTAGGATATTGCTTGTTTAATAATCTACACACAGACTGACGTGACTTGTAGGATATTGTTTGTTTTAGTTTACATACAGACTGACGTAACTTGTATGCAATTGTTTGTTTAGTAGTCTAAACACAGACTGACGTGACTTGTAGGATATTGCTTGTTCTACACAAAGACTGACGTGACTTGTATGTTATTTTTTATTTAGTAATCTACACACAGACTGACGTGACATGTTTGATATTGTTTGTTTAAGAATTTTCACTCAGACAAATGACTTGTATAATATGGCTTGTTAATATCTTATATACAGACTCACTTGACTTGTAAGAAATTGTTTGTTGAATAGTCTACACAAAGAATGAGACTGCGATGACTTGTATAAAATTGCTTGTTAAATAGTCTACACTCAGACTGACGTGACATGTATGTTTTGCTTGTTTAATAGTCTCCACACAGACTGACGAGACATGCATGATTTGCTTGTTTAATAATCTACACACAGAGTGACGTGATTTGTATGATATTTCTTGTTTAGTAGTCTACACACAGACTGACGTGACTTGTATGGTATTGCTTGTTTAATAGTCTACACACAGACTGACTTGACTTGTATGGTATTGCTTGTTTAATAGTCTCCACACAGACTGAAGTGACTTGCATGATTTGCTTGTTTAATAATCTACACACAGAGTGACGTGATTTGTATGATATTTCTTGTTTATTAGTCTACACACAGACAGACGTGACTTGTATGGTATTACTTGTTTAATAGTCTACACTCAGACTGACGTGATTTGTATGGTATGGCTTGTTTAATAGTCTCCACACAGACTGACGTGACATGCATGATTTGCTTGTTTAATAATCTACACACAGAGTGACGTGATTTGTATGATATTACTTGTTTAATAGTCTACACTCAGACTGACGTGATTTGTATGGTATGGCTTGTTAATAGTCTACACACAGACTCACGTGACTTGTGTGATACTGCTTGTTTAATAGTCTACACACAGACTGACGCGACATGTATGATTTGCTTGTTTTATAGTCTACACACAGACTGACGAGTGATGTCGATCAGTGTCTGTTTTAACAGTATTTCCAATATGTGTATATGTGTTTTTGTACAGTTTGTATATAAGTTGAGTATAAACATCACTTCATTTCTAGTTCAGAATTGATCACGAAAATAAGCCCCTTGATAGTAAATCTGCATTTATGTTTTTTTGAGCTTTAGTTTTTAAGAAAGGTCTTTTCTCGCTTTGTTGCAATGGTAAAGTGAAACCGAGCCTATCCATCCACACTATTTGACATATCCTGTGGAATGTAAATTCATCTTATAAATGCTTTTATTTTCTATATTTGGGAATCATTTAAAACCGTCTCGATAATATATCGGCGACTATTAAAACATATCCATGCTCACATTTGTACAAGATGTTGAAACTTAAATACAGATATTAATTGTATTACACAACCACAGCTGCGTAAGCAGGTATAGAATAGGAATATGTATCCACAATACAGAGATCGGGAAATATAACTTTAGTACTGTATCATTTACATTCGAAATGTTTTTACTTTCCTTTAGCATCGTAAGTCTTCAAAAATGTTTTCTAAAACAATTGAAACTAGATCAAAATGAACTGGTTTACACAATTTTTATTATTTTTCGGTGAATTTGAAGTACATTCGTTTATTGCTTGAGTGTATGTGTAGAAATTCCATGTCAAAGAAATTAAATGCAAAAGAATATATTGTATACATTTTACATTTACTTGCTTACACTGTAACTCGTTGTTATTGGGAATCTTATGTTCTGTATGTGACACTATTTTCTTTGGGACCATTTATCCTCATTCATCATATTCCATTATATCATATTTTGCTATAGATCACGTTTTTTTTTATGTAACATTCAATGCCCAAACCGACAATATCTTGTCGACTTTTTCCTAAGAATTGCTTGTCAATGTAATATAATTTTGAGATGAAGTATTAATAGTGCATGCATTTGGAGATAAAAATATCTTATTAATAAAGTATTTTAATATCATGTTTCTGTATTGGACTTGTATCGTTTTGTTGTTTCCTTTAACTCTACATTCACAAAAAGATTATGTTTATTGTTTCTACATGTCAGTTGTTATAGAAGAAACAAAGAAGGGAACTTTGATGTGTATTTCTTTGTGCTTCGTTTTTGGTATAATTCTGTATCTGGAAACATCTTATTCTGCATCTATAGTAGATATGACAAAATAAGTTACTTTTATCATTAAATCTTTTTATTTCTTTATTCATATTTTTTATTTTTTATTTATATATTTATTTCCGTTATATGTCGTCCTCTACTATTCCAAGGTCTCCAGACAATTTAATTTCATCTTTGTTGCATATTTGTGTTCTTCACGAGTAAAATATACATACTATAATGGTGGTGCGATGATAAGTTTCCTGCTATGTTTGATGTTCCGAGTAAATATAATTCCACTAGTCGAAATTCTAAAACGTGAAACTTTTTTAAGTGTTGTCACAGTGTAGGGTTTATGATTTAAATATATTTTATTGCCTAAAAATAGCAACTGGATTAGGCACTAGTGATTCAACTTATACAAAGCCCTTTTCATTATATATTACAATAAGAATTGCCATACTAAAATGATTGAACATTGGTAAGTTCATATGCATGCATTCACACGTCAACACCCCCACACATTTACACTTTGAGTTACATACAATTAGAGAGGGGGAGAGCTCAAATTATTTTGGCTTAGTGACTCAGTCCAACACAATACAAATTTTAATCTATATGCAGCCATCACATCCTGTGCTGTAAATTCTTCCTGGTATTCAATCCGCGGTTTCTGGTATTTCCGTTTCCACTAATCCGTATACACAGGGAAAGACCTACTCCCATAACATGAGAGGCCGCTGGTCGGCCTTTTTTCTATCGGATATGATTTTGCCGACTGCGACCTCTCATTTCCTAAGCACTTATACCTTGATGCAGTTTCCGCCCGAAATCCGAGCGGAACAAACTCGGCTTGAAAAACTCACAGACACAAATATATAGTATATTACGGAATAGAATACTCAAAATACATGTCCATGTCGTTGTAGCACATCACTGACCTACATTTAAAACATGGTTTCCTGGATTAATACAAAATAGCAGGGGGATTTCAAACGGAACGAAATGATACGGAGTTTGTTTGTATTCCGCTTGTGAAACATTACATGTAATCTATTTTTGTATTAACCGGAAAAATCATGGCAAATTCTATCTGCTTCGCTTTGAATGAGGAAAAACTCATTATTTATGTCTTTGACACGAAATTTTTCTCATATAATCATGGATTTATGGAAAGGAACATTTATTGGACACTTTTGACCATTTAAATGTATGTAAACACGATATACTCTTTCTTAATCCGAACTTTGAAAATGTGATCGTCAGCATCGGGAAAATCAGCTATGGCAGATAGAGGTTACGCGGCGCCTGTCAAAAGTTTTTCGCCGTGTAAAACCTCTAATATTGTTGGAGTAGGAAAGACCAAGCAAATGGTACACATATATGAATATATTTACATTCTGTGTTGCATTTGCCTATATGTCGTTAGTAAACCAAATTGCAGTATATGAGACTGTATACTAAAATTTACAGTGATACGGCCAGTGTAGGAATACAGCTGGTACAAGGTAAACAAACATGGCCGCCAGTCACATCCGATATCAATACGCCTATAGTCAGAGAACTTTCTGGGTTCGTTAGCATTTAGCAATGTGGGTCATCGCAAAAAGTAAAGCAACTTGCGAATTATGACAATATAAATTTATTATGCGATGTGTAGGTACCACAAACTTATTGTTAGCTCCATTCTAGATATGAAATTACCAAGTTTGTCAACGTCATCACACAGGGGCTCGGTTACGGGTTTTTGCGTTATGCATAACATCAGTGAATAACCACAACACTACAATTCAGCATTTATAAAACCTTGTTCAAGTCGAGGGAATCGACAAGGTTTTAGAATGTGTATAAATACCTTTTTAAGTGTTGTGGTTCTTCAGTGATGTCATCCATTACTCAAAATCACGAAACCGAGCCCCTTTGAACGTCGTCTAATAGCGATGATAAATCTGACCGATACGACACGCTTCTACCATTTGATGACCTACTTCAGCATAGTGAAGATGGAACAGAACTTAATATCGATCAACAGAGATAGATGATTTGAAAGACAGTAGTGAATCAGAAGAAACAATTTGAGAAGGGAGTTTGTTCCAATCTTTGATAGTCCAAGGAAAGAAGGATTCCTTCCTTACAGACGTCCTGCATGAGATAGCCTAGTTAGAAATGCGGTTTGATGACTATGCCTTGTTTGTCTGGTTATAGGGGTGTTTAGTAGTAATGGCAACTTTATTACGATAGATTTTATAGAGCATGGTCAGCCTCGCGTCTTTCCTGCGATCTGCAAGACTACGCCATTTTTGGTGTTCTAACATGTTGCCAACGCAGGTGTTACGATAGCGATTGGCAACGAAACGGGCAGCCCTGCGCTGTACCATCTCTAGCTTGTCTATATCTTTTTTTAAGTAAGGGTCCCATATAACCTGAGGGCGGACCAGGGACTTATAGGCCTTTTGATTGGTGTTAGAGGATGAAATTTCGAGATTGCGCCTCAGGAAGCCCAGAGTGTAGTTGACCTTTTTTGTGATGTTATTGATATGAGTACTCCACTCCACTTTAGATCAGAAGTAATGGTGACCCCAAGATATCAATATCTCTTTGCAGGGTGTGAGCGTCTCTCTGAGATGTTGCTGTCAGATACATGATAGTATCATCTGCAAAGAGTCTGATAAAAGATGTTATACCCTCAGTGATATCATTGATGTAGTATAAGAAAAGACCGAGGACCGAGCCTTGGGGGACCCCTGCTTTTACTGGGGCAGAATCGGACATTTCCCCTTATACTACAACAGTCTGGGTTCTGTCACTTAGGAAGCCCTCAATCCAGGTGTTGACTGGTCCAGTAATTCCATACCCCCTGAGTTAGAATGGCTCACCTTATCAAAGGCCTTACTAAAATCCAAAATCAATACGTCTGTCTGTTTACCATCTTCTAAATTTCTTGAGATGTCATCAATAAATTCTAATAGTTGACTCTCGCATGACCTGGATTGTCTGAAACCATGTTGTAAGGGGTAAAGAATGTTATTGTTATCAGCATGATTCATGATGTTACTTACTATAATTAATCCATCAACTTACAACAAATACAAGTGAGAGATATGGGATGGTAGTTTTCAGGGTTAAAGTTTTGGCCTTTTTTGTAAACTGGGACAATGTTAGCTGTTCTCCAGTCAGATCGAACATGACCGGTATCTAACGACCTTTGGAAGATGAGACAGAGAATGGGGGGAATTTCTGTTGCCAGTTCCTTGAGTACAATCGATTTGATATGATCTGGGGCAGCAGCTTTAGAGGTGTCTAGATTTAGAAGAAGTTTATAAATTCCATTGGGTGTTATTTTAATGTTACCCATCTCAGAGATGTTGTTCTGCATAGGGCATTGCTGCTTAAATATGTCTGAGCTAATGTTGTCATCACTGGAAAACACAGACTGGAACTGATTGTTCAATATATTGGCCTTATTCGTAGGATCTGTATGGAGTTTACCATTTCGTTTCAGTGCCCCTACACCACTGTAGTCAGGTTTTTTTTTATGTTTTATATATATCCAGAACCTTTTCATAGGTTTACAGTCCGAGGAATCTGAATTTGGACGGACTATGTCTTCATCGTATTTCCAGTAGGCCTGTCTGAATAGTTTTTGGATAAGATGTTTCAGTGATTTGAATTTTTCTTTAATTGATGGTTACCAGACTTTTTTGCTTGTTTATATAGATTGTTTCTTTTATTGATGGTTACCAGACTTTTTTGCTTGTTTATATAGATTGTTTCTTTTATTGATGGTTACCAGACTTTTTTGCTTGTTTATATAGTCTGTTTCTTTTATTTATTAACTTTTTAATTTCATGTGTCACCCATGGGTTTCTATCTCTCCCTTTTTTTGCCACTTTGTGCGGGACATGCTCGCCAACTATCTTTTGTAAGAATAGTTTGAATGCTTCCCATAATCCCTCTACAGTTAGGACTTTATTGGTCGAGATTTCTAGATAGAAGTTGTGGAGTTCACTTTTCATGAAATTCCAATTGGCCTTTTTATACAAGGGTATTTCTCTGGGTCTTTGGTTAATTTTGTGGGGAACACTGGAAATTTGGAGGAACATAATATCATGGTGAGATAAACCAGGAATTGCCTCAATTCTCTGTACTTGGTTTGGGGTATTTGTAATTATGAGAGCTAATGTATTGTTATTACGGGTAGGAAACGTGACCAGTTGTGTTAGCCCAGTATTATCAAGGAGATTTCCAAAGTCATAGTGAAATTTAGAGTGGGCAGTGTTTGGTTTAATTATCGTATTCTCCCAGTCCCAACCAGGTAAGTTGAAATCGCCTCCGATGACAAGTGTGGAGTTCTGAAGCTGGGAGGCTTGCCTCAAGGAAAGATCAAACAGTTTTGCACTTACTTCATTGTTTGTTTTTGGATTATAATAAGAACATATGTACAGTGTCTTATTTCCAACGACTTCTATCTTTGCCCAAATAATTTCACACTCTTCAGGTGGGTTAAGGTCTTCTACAGAGTCACTCATGTAACCAGTTTTAATTGCAATAACGACTCCTCCACCTGCACTATTTACTCTATCTTTTCGAAAAGCTCTATATTCTGATGGAATGACTTCATTACTATGGATGTTGGGTTTTAACCAAGTTTCAGTACCGATGGTAACATGAGGTAAAGTACTCTTAATAAGGTTATGTACAAGATGTTGTTTATTTTTCATAGATTGGAAGTTTACATTAACAATCCGTGGTGGTTTCTCCCTAGAACAAGTATATTTTTAAGTCTGCGTAGTCTGAAAGGACCACTTTAATAAAAAAAAAATCCGAGTATATATGCTTCTGAAAATAACGTAATATTCCAGTCGATAGAAACATAAGCGTTTCCGAGGAAACAATCAAGTCCGTTCAGCGCCGCATCACTTCCAAATACATGTAATCTATCAATGCGCGAAAAACAGCTTTAATTTTAA